CTCCAAGACCTCTTCCAACTCTAACATCTGAGGGGTTCATGGGACCTTTTTGCTTTCTTTGCTAGAAAAGGAGACTGACCGATGTACCACAGAGGACACTTTCTAGCTGTATGAATTTGTCAAGTTGCTTCATCTTCTTGGGTTTCAGGTTCCTCATTTATAAAATGGGAATATTGTCTAATTTATAAGGTTCATAGGATTTAAATGAGATAACATATGCTTATAACATTATTTTTCTCTTTGGACAAACAGATTTGAGCTGATGTAGGCTGTAGCAAATGATATAGTCCTGTAATGATTCATTACCGGGGAGTGATAAATAGTTGTTGAATAGAATTCCTGAAGTACCATTTTAGAAGCTGAAATCTCTCTTTTAAAATGCCCATGAAATCTAGGTGGGATGTGTGAAAGTATGCATCAGAGAGCCACTAGAGTAAAACATGTTGCTTTTTGTAGAACCCTCTGTGTGTGTGTGCATGGGTGCATGTTTTTGTTTGGTTGTTTTTTGTGTTTTGTGTTTTGTGTGTGTGTGAAATTAGACTCTACAAGGAAGCATTTATGTGATTGACTCAAAATTTAGGCTATAAAAACTTGTTCATTCTCAAGCATTTCTTCTTGTTTACCTTTTACCAGGTACTAGAATATTCTTTGGATTATGACAAATAATGAAACCAGTGGTACAATTTGTTTATTTCATAGACAGCCTTATTTACCTGTGGCAAAGATTATGTTGAAAGCGTAGAGTTTTCCTCTAAATCCTGCTCTATGTTAGAGGGGTGCCTGGGTGGCTTAGTCAGTTAGGTGTCTGACTCTTGATATTGGTTCAGGTTATGATCTCAGGGTTGTGGGATCCAGCCCTGTATCAGGTTCCTTGTCCAGCATGGAGTCTACTTGTCCTTCTCCCTCTGTCCCCACTCCCCTACTGGTGTGTGTACCCTCTCTCTCAAATAAATAAAATAAAAAAAAATCCTGCCTTATATCACATATGGAAGATTATTAGGGTGCTTTATATAAAGTATCATTTAATAACTACTTATAAGTTTTTGGTCAGGAGATATTACAGACTATAAGTTTTAGATCTTTAAGCAGTTCCTCTTGGCCACATCAAGTTGGAGTTTCAAGGGATGTTAGAAATGGTCATCACTAGATGGCAGTCTTTCTCTAGTTTAAGTCGTTTATTCCAGGTTTGGGGGCGGGGTGGGGAAGCTAGTCTTTGTTCAAGTGCAAAGTCGACAACGAATCTTAGGTTAACTTCTATAGGTCTATAACCTTTCCGGAATTTAAAATAAAGAATTTTATTTTTAATATTCTCTATCTAATAGATATGTTGGTTAGCACTAAGTGTGAGATACACTTGAAATGCTGGTAGAAATTGGGCTGTTAAGTAGTGATCTATAGCTGCCTTTACCTATGCTGGGCAATTTGAAAAAAAAAAAAAACAAAAAACTTTTAAATCAGTGACTTTTTTTAACTTCTTCGATAACCAGATGAAAACTATGGATCAGTTTCCCTTACAATTACATATATGTACTTCTCCCTATATATACATTAAATCTGGAAATTGTGGATTTCTTGATATGTAACCCTGAAAAACAAGTTTGTTACATATAGTCCCAATACCCTTGTTTTAAATATGTGGGTTTTACATTTATTCTAACTTTTTAAACACTCAAGATCCTCAAAGGATTTGCTAAAACCCTTTGATGTTATCCAACATTATTATAATTAAAGAGAATAGTAGAATCCTAAAGGCCCTAAGATAGGAGAAATAGTTAAGGGCTAGTGATAAGGGTGTAGAGAATTCACTAAGATGTTTTGAACTACTACCTGTTAACACCTCTCTGAAAAATGTATGATTTTACAGTTTATTGACTTAAGTTGAAAGTGGGAGTTAATTGTAGACACTTAGAGGTGGGTTGATACTTAGAGAGTTTGTAACTGATTGCTTCCTATTTTCTAAATGGGAACGCTGAGGGTCATAGAGATTAACTGAGTTGCTTTAAGATTCATAGCTGGTTAGTTGCATTGCTAAAACCAAGGCTATATAGTTAGGCAGCTAAAATCCACCTTTCCTTTCTTTAATTTATATTTTTTTTAAGTAGGAAGTTCAAGGAACTAGGTTGCTAGGGAGGTATTATTAACATGTTACAAATTTCTTAATTTGGAGATTTTCTTCTCTTTGAGTTATCTTTTGTGATATTAATATAGGTCTTTGGAAAGGAGAAATGAAGAGAAGTTCTACATAGTAGAAGGAAGTAGGTATGCTACTTAGAAGTATGGTCAAGATATAACAATTTGGAACCAGAGAGTTGTCTAATATTGAATACTATCTGCTCATGTCATTTAGATTGATACATTTTCATTGGTTATTGCTTTTCTAAAAGTGGCAAAGAATATTAGTATCTTCACAGGGAAACCTTTTCCTTTTCTTTGGAAGGGGAAATTTATGCTTATTTGAGATTATTGAAATGCCAGTGCTAGATTCTGCCCTCCGTCTGTATTTCAGATAGCTCCTTTAGGCAGTTGGTTATTCTATAGTGTGTCTTAATTGTCAAAGTGGGTATTGTTTATAATGTTTTGGAGATCTTATTATTTCAAAAGAAGGAGAATGAATCTAGATTGCTGCGGGTTTTCTGAAGTAAGTGATCAGAATTTTTACTGGAAGCCAAATTTGTGTATGTATTATCTGTAATTACTGCTGAGTTTTGGGCAATGGAACTGATCTGCTGAGGAGACTATACAAGATCAGGGTCATGATCTCTAGTACCTGCAAATGATTCTAGCACCCCAAGATGTTGGTAATGAACAAATGTGTATTTGTTAAACAAATGTCAGATGTCAGAGAGGTTTTAGAGATAATATTAGTCATTCATTTAGTCAACAAATATTTACTCATTGCCTTCCACCTGTCTGGCACTGTTGTAGAGGTACAGTGGAGAATATGGCAGACAGAATTCTTGCCCTGGAGCTTATAATCTAATTGGGATGGGTTGGGGGGAGAGATAGGCAACAAACCTGGATGATGAGAATGAAAAAGTTGTTTGAAGATATAGAGGATGAATATTACTAGCATAAGAACTGCAAAAATAAAATTCTTGAGGGAAGAAGAGGCTTGAAAAAAAAAGTCATTGTAGCTAGAACATTAGAGGACAGAGGGTGGCGGGGGGTGGGAACTAGAGATAAATGAGGTTGGGGAGATATCAGAGACTAGATTGTATAGGATCTTACAAGCTATGGTAATGGTATGAGATTTTTATTCTTTTGGTGAAGAGAAACCATTAGAAAGATTTAAGCAGAGGGATAACATCTGAATTATTACCTTATAAAGATCATTTTAACTGCTGTGTGGAGGGCGTCTGCATGGAGGTGGGGAGATGGGGAGGTGGAAACTTTTGAGAAACTATTACCTTGTGCCAATGATACAGATTTGGACTAGGTTTTTAGTAGAAATGGTGAGATGCAGTCCGCTATTAAGATATGTTTTGGTGGTTGAGTTGTTAGGATTTATTAATGGTTTGGATGGGGGTATGTGATGGAAAGTGGTGGATTAGGAGTAATTCTTGCATTTGGATTTTGACTTGGCAAACTGGAGAGTGCCCTTAGTTGTGATGAGGTTGGTGAGTGGTAGAGAGATTTGGGGAAGAACACGTTTGGGAGTGGAGATATTTTGGTGATAGATGATTTTTAAATTTGAGATAGCTTTTAAAAATCCAGTTGTAATTGTTAAATAGTAGCTGGATATTTGAGAGTCTAGTGCTCATCAAAGTGCTCTGAATTAAAGGTGTAGATTAGGAAGTCATTATTATGTACGTGGTATTTTAAAGCCATGGCATCAAATGACATTGCTTGGTAAGAGAGCATAGTTAGAAAAGATATGTTGTTTTAGGAATATTTAGAAAGGGACTAGAGGAGGAGGAGCCCAGAAAGGAGATTGAGAAGGCTTGTCTGTGAAAGGATAAAAACCACACTATTGTGGTATCACTGAATTCTAGAGAAAAGATTGTTTCAAGAAGGAAGGTGTATCATATTACAGCAAATGCTGCTATTAGGTGGAGCACGATGAATGCTAACTATTGGGAGGTGAGGAAGCCACAAAAAGGTTTGCTGGAAGGGGAGCAGGGAAATAGGATTGTTAGCTGGAGGGAAATGTGTAGGTAAGGACAGTTTCTTTAAGTCATGTTTATATGCCTATGAGAATGACTTAGCAGACTGGTGGAATGTATGCTGTAGAGGATGGATAAAAGGGAATAATTGAAGGCATAAAGTTCATGAGACAACAAGAAAGAATGACAGATAAGAGCTTGAATTCACGCTTTTTCCATTGTTACAGGAGTTACTGAGGTAAGAAGTTTGGTTGATTTTAGTGGGAGAAGAAATATCTTTCAGTTTGAAATGTGTCGTCACATCAGCAGCTGAGAGTGAGGGAGGGGATGGACATTTGAGGAAAGGACAAAGTAACGTTCTCACACAGTTATTGAGGTTACAAAGTGATTTTGTGGTTGTGGTGGTGGTGGGGGATAGTTTTAATAGTATTATCTAGCAATATTTATTGAATGCCCAATGTAGATTTGTGCTTATATAGCTAAACAGAGTCTACCCAGCACAGCTGTGTTTTTCTCCAGCAGCATCAGCTTCTTGGGTATAGTTATGGAGTGATTGGGTAGTGGCTTTATCCAAAAGTGAGTTTTTCTAGGGAAGTTTCAGAAGGAAAGTTGCAAAGGAGTTGTAATTCAGTCCTTTCGTTTTATGACAATAATTCTGTGATGAGTACTGTTAAATATTTAAGTATTTTTGAATGGATAGGAAGCAAAATTTCTGTTTTCCTAAAAAAAAATACTCATCTAGAATTGGGGCAATGTTAATATAATTGGATTACTCTGTGGTTAACGTACCTTCAATATGAAATCTCCAAATAAATTCACTTCTGGGTTTGTAATTCTATTTCTCTTTCTTAGAAGTAAATCTGGTGTAATCTTCATGCGATTTTTTTTTTTTTAAAGGTCTGTCTATGATGGTGAGGAGCATGGACGATTCATGGAGAAGCTTGAAACTCGCATCCGCAATCATGACCGGGAAATTGAGAAAATGTGCAACTTTCATTACCAAGGCTTTGTGGACTCTATAACTGAACTCCTGAAAGTGAGAGGGGAAGCTCAGAAACTCAAAGTAAGAAGGCTCCAAGAGGGACTTGTTTCTCTGTTCTGTGCCGGGGTTTTGATTAGCATTAAAGGAGTAGGGAATACATTGCAGGTTGTATGTTTGTAGTAAAGAAACTAAGGAAGGAATTTGTACTGAAACATAGATAATTGGGATTATTTTACCTAAAAAGAATACTCTTCTAAGTTAAATTTTATTTTGGATGACTGCATGTGGATGAGAACCAGCAACAGAATCAGTAACTGTTCATTTCAAATAGAAACACAGTTGATTCTTCATGTCATCCATGTACTTCCTTGCCAGATAAAAGCATCATTGTAAGATGACAGGGTTGTAGGGCATGACACGGTTATAGAAGTCTTCGCAGCCGAGCAACCAAGGCTGCAGGAAAACAAATCAGTGGTAGTTGTGGGATATCTTCTACCAAAGCATGGAAATTCTTTCTTGATATGACAGATTCAAATTCAGGAAGGAGACCAGCCATATTGGTCTGGTCCCTTACCTTAGATAATTGACTTTTCTTATTGATCTTAAATTTGATAGCTTCACTAAACTCTTCTGTTATTTCTAATAAGTTTTGTGCAGACTTCTTTTGAGTTTTCTATGTAAACACTCATATGCTCTATAAGTAATAACAACTTTTTTCTTTCTTTCTGGTCCTTATGGCTCTAATTCATTCCTTCCTTCCTTCCCTCCTTCTTTCCTTCCTCCCTCCTTCTGTCCCATGTTTTACCTTCCTTACTCCTTTCCCTCCCCTCCTTTTTTTTTTTCTCTTCCTCTTTCTTTCTTTCTCCCTCTCTCTCTCCTTCTTTTTCTTCATCTTTTTCTTCTTCTCCTCTTCCTCCTCCTTCTCCTATTGGAATTTGGATTAAAATCCCAAAATAATTTTCCTTGGGCATGGGGTGAACTTGATAGTGAGTATAAAATCCATTAAAAAGAATACATTGGTAAGAAAAGTAAAGAACTGATTTTATTGAGAGGGAATGTGGGTTATTTAAAGCTACAGTAATTTAAAAGCTAATTTGAGGTGGCTCAGTTGGTCTGACTCTCGATTTCAGCTCAGGTCATCATCTTGGAGTTGTGAGATTGAGCTTTGTGTCGGGCTCTGTGCTCTGAGCAGGGTCTGCTTGGGATTCTCTCTCCCTCTCCCTCTGCCCCTCCCCCTCCCCAGTCTCTAAATTAAATAAATAAACTCTTGGGGCACCTGGGTGGCTCAGTCATTAAGAGTCTGCCTTCAGCTCAGGTCATGATCACAAGGTCCTGGGATCAAGCCCTGCATCGGGCTCCCTACCTGGTGGGAAGCCTGCTTCTCCCTCTCCCACTCCCCCTGCTTGTGTTCCCTCTTTTGCTGTCTCTCTCTCTGTCTAATAAATAAATAAAATCTTGAAAGATTTATACATAAATAAACTCTTAAAAAAAAGAGCTAATTTGACTGTAAAACCTAACCTGCATGAAGCTATCAAGCTTCTTAATATGTTTTATTTAATGTAAAATTTTGTCTTTTGCTGCACAAATATTAATGTGTTTGATTGCGGGATCCTATCCTACTATCCATTGGGTAGGGGTGTTATGTAATATACAGTATGTACCATATTATCTTTACAAAATGTCCAAATTTCTGAAGTCTAAATAAAACACAGTGGGTCCCACGGTTCCAAATAAGAGTTTATGGAGCTGTACAATTGTCCAACCTTCTTAAGAAGTATATTATTGCTTCTTAGTTATATCCTTAGTTGCTGCCTTTACCCTTTCCTCCCAAAGTAATGATTGTTCTGATTTGTTATTACTGTGCTTAATGCTTAAGTACTTCAGTTGAAATTAAATTTGACCTGGTTTTCATTCAGTATACCAGCATTAATCTCAGATGAACGAAATAGTTAAGTGTAGAATACAAAATCATCCAGGAACTAATAGGAAGTACAGATGAATGTTTGTGTGATTTTGGAGTGAGGAATACATTTCTAAACAAAATTCCTAAAGCCAGAAAGAAAAAAGTTGATAGATATGACATTGAAATGAAAGAATCTTTTCTACATATAAGGTAAAAATTAAATATAAATAATAAATAAAAACTAAAGATACATTTGCCGAAATGACTAATATCTGTAATATAGAAAAAAATCTATATAAATTGAAAGGAAGAATATAAACATTCTAATAGGAAACAGAAATATACATTAATATACAGTGTACGTAAGAAGAAATACAAGGGAACTCTACAATTTAGAAAATTAAAGGAATGGAAGCATAGTAAAATGCTGCCTAATAAAATGATAGAGATGAGAAAAATGATATTTAAGATTAGAGATATGATACTAGTCAACCAGGGTATGCCTGGTTGGAGTGTAGATTGTTACAACCTTTGAAGAGAGCAATTTTATTTAGGAATACTTAAAACTCCACACTGTTTTGAAGACTTACTTTTTTTTTTTTTTTTTAAAGATTTTATTTATTTTGTTTTATGCCCACAAGGGTCGGGGAGGGGCAAACAGTGGAGGGAGAGAGAATCTGAAGCAGACTCTGCAATGAGCCCAGAGCCCGGTGTGGGGCTTGATTTCTCAACACTGAGATCATGACCCAAGCTGAAACTAAGAGGTGGCTGGCCAAGCCACCCACAGCGCCCTAAGACTTATTCTGAAGCTATAGATGCATGTATAAGGATATTCATATGATTTTTTTAATGTATAAAGCTTTATTTTATTTTATTCATTTTCCCCTCCCTCTGCCCTCTAATGGGTAAAACTTTTTTTTTTTTTTTAAAAGATTTTATTTATTTATTTGACAGAGAGAGATCACAGTAGACAGAGAGGCAGGCAGAGAGAGAGAGAGGGAAGCAGGCTCCCTGCTGAGCAGAGAGCCCGATGCGGGACTCGATCCCAGGACCCCGAGATCATGACCTGAGCCGAAGGCAGCGGCTTAACCCACTGAGCCACCCAGGCGCCCCTCTAATGGGTAAAACTTTAAAATGTCCCTAAAGTCATTTAGTAGAAGGTGAGTAAAATAGGTCATGATACATTCATTGAAAAGAATAATAAACTATGGTTTATTTTAGAAGGATATCTTACATGAGAAAGTATTAGAAATATTTGCTTAATGTATAAAACTGTTAAAAAGTATGAACAATTTGATTATATTTTAAATAAAAAGTGCTGAATTTGGGGGGGCTGAAATGGACAATTGAGGCTTCAGATGGACAAAAGTATCTGAAATGTTTGAAAGCCAAAGTAGGGGGCTCCTTCCAGGAGCCGTGTATGCTGTTTGTCCTCACTCAGCCATCCCAGCTTTCCATTCTTCCCTCAAGCTGTTCTTTTCTGTGTTATTTGGACGTGTATATTCCAGACTTCTCCCTCTGCTCCCTGGGCCCCCTGTCCGTGACAGGTGACCCAAAACCCTGTCTCTGGTTACTGAAGTAGTCACGTGGTAGAGTTCCTTCTTGGTGTACTTTCACTGAACATTGCCCATAATGCTCACCAGTTGCTGGTATCCCTTGCTGGTTGGTGCTCATCTCCTCTTCCTTCCTCCAATCTGTTTCAAGTTGCAGATTCCTTCAAATTACTCAGGTTGCCCCCGAGAGAAAGCATGACAGGGAGGCTACTGGTTCCGGGGGTTTGCTGCAGGCTTCCGCTCATCTCCTCTGAAACGTGAGGGTATTAAAGTCTAGCAGCACACTCTAGAGTGGGAGTAGGGGGTGGGGAGGGGGGCATTCAGCCTGGGTTAGGAAGCTATGAAAATTAGGGATTCTTGAGCTGTATTAACGAGTTTAGAAAATGCAAAAGGTTAAGTATTAACTACTGTCAGTATTATTTTAACATAACAAGGAAAAGAAACTACACTCTCTAGGATGCCCACTATTTCTTTTGATTCATAGTATGTATATTATCTCTGTCCATATTTAGGTTTTCTGCATCAAGAGAAGTAGCAAGCTAGATAGGCAATATACTTTCTTTTCATTTTTATGTTAAAATTCTAATGAAGTGGTAATTATCTTCTTATTAGAGGCATTGGTTAGGCTCCTATGGAGTGTTTTAGAACCATTGTTTGCACAAGGTCAAACTGGTGGGCCATAATCAGTATTTTTAATAAAAATTGGAAGAGATAGAACAGAACAGAATGGAAAGCAATAAAGTGTATTACAGGTAGTGAGGATGAACACTTTCTTGAGAAGTTTGTTTCAGGTGTGTGTGTGTGTGTGTGTGTGTACGCATGCATGCGTGCCCTATACTTTTGTACTGGTTGCAATGTAAAATGTATTTCTCACAATGAGTTTGAGTGAAAAAAAAATTTAGATGTGGTGTCTTTTGTAAGGTAAATAAAGTAGACAATGATTTTGAATTTAGTAGTATTTATGGAAGGTTGAATTTTATGAGCTCTCTAGTTTAGTATTAAACAACTGATTATTATTATTTTTTTAAGATTTTAAAAATTTATTTGACATAGATCACAAGTAGGAAGAGAGGCAGGCAGAGAGAGAGAGCGGTAAGCAGGCTCTCTGCTGAGCAGAGGAGCCCGATGCGGGGCTCGATCCCAGGACTCTGGGATCATGACCCGAGCTGAAGGCAGAGGCTTAACCCACTGAGCCACCCAGGCACCCCTAAACAACTAATTATTCTTGAATAAACACTCTGAAGGGGGAGATAGCAGTACATATTTCAAGGCATGCCACCCCATTTTTATTCACATTACTTAAAAGCTTTTTCTTATAGTAAGCTGATATTAATCCTGTGTTCTAGTAACATCCATTTATTAGTTTAAGTAATAAGCACTATTTTTAAGACAGCACCTTTCTTCTAATAGCTCTTCAGATATTTGATGGACAGCTGTTACTTAGGTATGGTGTATAGTGTGTAGTGTCCGGGTATAGTGAGTATAGTGTCTCCAAATGAATATTTCCTCCTTCTTTGGGCTAAGATATCCTTTATTTTCCATTTGTGTGGCTTTGGGTCCTTTTCCAAACATACTCCCATCTAATTGTGTTTCACTGTGTCAGTGGCCTTCCTGAAACATGACATCTGAATGCAGTTCTCACATTGTGGCCTAATAGCCTTACCATTGCACTTATTCTAGACCAAGGATCAGCAACCTATATCTTGCAGGCCAAATTCAACTTGTCTCCTGTTTTTTATCAATAAAGTTTTATTGGAATGCAGCAATGCCCATTCACCTGCAGTTTGTTTCTAGCTGCATTTTTGCTACCGTGGCAGAGTGGAATGATCACAACGGAGATTATCTACTTAGCCCTTTGCAAAAAGTTTCCTGACCTCTGCTTTAGACAGTGCTTCTGTTGATGTTGTCTTAGGTCAGCATTTGAGCTACCACTCGTACTCTTACTTTCTACTGAGTTAGCAGTCTAATACCATGTGTTTCACATGTTGTGCTATTAAATAAATAGTAAAGAGGGAATTTGAGGGTTTCTTCTCTTTCTGTTACTTTATAAAGACTTTCTGGAGAAGGTTGGGTTTTGTTTTGTCTGGTGCACATGATAATTGGCTCTGAAAACGGTAGTCCAGGTGTAGTATGTAGTTTAGGGCAAAGTTTTCAGACATGTGTTCCTGAAAAACTAGTTTCTTAAGATGATCCTTAATAAGAGGGTATTATGTTAAAAAAGTCTGGAAACATTCTGTCATGATATCCCCTTATTGGGCATTGAGCACGTAGAATTTTAAAGGCTTCAAGAAGTCCTGAATAGGGGTGCTTGGATGGCTCAGTGGGTTAAAGCCTCTGCCTTCGGCTCAGGTCATGATCCCAGGGTCCTGGGACTGAGCCCGGTATCTCTCTGCTCAGCAGGGAGCCTGCTTCCTCCTCTCTCTCTGCCTGCCTCTATGCCTACCTGTGATCTCTGTCTGTCAAATAAATAAAATCTTTAAGAAAAAAAAAAAAAAGAAGTCCTGAATAAACTAACCTGTTGAGTGGACTATTCCATACATATTTGGTGTGTGTGTGTGTGTGTGCGTGCAGGTGTGCACCTCTGTGTGCATGTGCAGAGTACCTATTAACCAGCATTTCTTTGTGTGCTAAGGGACATAATAGGAAACCCTGGGCTAAGGGAATGCCTTCAAAGTGTAAGGAATGGCAATTATTGGTGGAAGGGTAGAAAGCCTCTATTAAAGTAAGCTTTAGAAGTTAATATTGCTCATGTTTTGATAATATCTGAGCTGCTCAGGAAATTACTGTTCTGTGTACTTAATTTTTTTATATCAGTCAAGTATCTGAAAGTGGATATCAAAAAACTTGGTACTAGTTCCTTTATATTACAAACTCTAGATAAATTTTAAGGCTTGTTTACATAGTTTTGAGTATCTGATGGAGAGATTAATTTAGAAAAATGGGAAAGTGGAAATGTTAGGAACTGTTAAGAATTAATGATCCAAAAAAATTAAAATAAAAATTTTTAAAGATTTAATTTAGTATTTATTTGACAGAGAGAGAGAGAATAAGCAGGGGGGTGGGGTGGGAGAGGGAGAAGCAGGATCCCTGCTGGGGGAGCCTGAGTTGGGGTTCCATCCCAGGACCCTGTGATCATGACCTGAGCCAAAGTCAGATCCTTGACCAACTGAGCCACCCAGGTGCCCCAAGATAAAGTATTTTCCAAAATTAGGATAATAAATAGGAAAGATTTGGCCTGAGTTAAAAACTTCAATTTATATCCAAGGTTTCCAGTAATACAGTGGTGAGTTGAGAATAATATCTATGACAAAATTTGTTCTTTGTACACATAATGGAGATGGTGAGATTCTTTGGGTTATTTTTTCCGTTTTTTCTCTTTTCTTTCCAAAATTTAAGTGTGATCTTTAGTTGCTGTTGTATCTTAGTTTGGAATATTCTAAGCTGAACACATCATTCACTAAATTTTTCTTTTTGTTGTTCAAAAAATCATGCGGTAGGAAACATTAGTAGAAAAGTTGATATAATTTAGACCCGAGAGAATGCCATTAAACCAAGATGTGTTGGAAAACCAAAACTATCTGAGTAACTGAGTTTAGTCTTTTCACTTAAAATGTGATCTTACCTAACAGTTGTCTAAATGTTTGTTTTTTGTGAAACTTAAATTGTCTTTTCTCCACAGAATCAAGTGACGGATACTAATAGAAAACTGCAACATGAGGGAAAGGAAGTAAGGCCATTTACCTTTTGAAAAAATCTTCTCTGTTTCCTGTCATTCTCTTTTGATGACTGCATTCTTGATATAGTGGCTTGTAAGACCATCAGGAGTTTGTTGGAGGATCTTGGACATTAATTGTTGCTTCCCCTAATATTTCTCTGAATTATATGAATATAGCCACTAGAAAACTTGGTGAGGGAAGTTGTATATTTCTTCACTGAGTTTTTTTTTTTTCTTTTTTCTTTTAAATTGTGTTATGTTAGTCACCATACAGTATCATTTGTTTTTGATGTAGTGTTCCATGATTCATTTTTGTGTAAAAATACCCAGTGCTCCATGCAATCTGTGCCCTCCTTAATACCTATCCACCAGGTGGACCCATTTGCCCATCCCACTCCCCTCTGAAACCCTCAGTTTGTTTCCCAGAGTCCATAGTCTCTCATGGTTCATCTCCCACTCCAATTGCCCCCCGTTCATTTTTCCCTTTCTTCTCCTAATGTCCTCCATGCTATTCCTTATGTTCCACAAATAAGTGAAACCATTTTTTATGATAATTGACTTTCTCTGCTTGACTTATTTCACTTAGCATAATCTCCTCTAGTCCCATCCATGTTGATATAAAAGTTGGGTGTTCATCCTTTCTGATGGCTGAGTAATATCCCATTGTGTATATGGACCACATCTTCTCTATCCATTCGTCTGTTGAAGGGCATTTTGGCTCTTTGCACAGTTTGGCGATTGTGGACATTGCTGCTATGAATGTAGGGGTACAGATGGCCCTTCTTTTCACTACATCTGTTTCTTTGGGGTAAATGCCCAGTAGTGCAACTGCTGGGTCATAAGGTAGCTCTATTTTTAATTTTTTGGGGACCCTCCACACTGTTTTCCATAGTGGCTGCACCAATTTGCATTCCCACCAACTCTTCACTATGTTATTAAATCACAAGTAGTCATAATACAACCAGTGCTCTTCCCTCCGTCTGGAATGATCTTTCACCAATATTCTCTCACTTCAGACTTTGCTCAGATGTTCCCTCCTTAATGAGTTCTTTTATTTGGAATTGCAGACTTACTTTCACCCATGTGTTCTTTTTACTTTTCTTCCTTTATTTTTCTCCACTGCACCTATCATGCTCTACTACTGTATATTTTTAGTTGTATGTTTGTTTTTTGTCTGTCTCCTGCCATTAGAAATTAAGCTCCACGAAGTCAGGAAGTTTTGTTTTATTCATTGTCATATTCTCTCTACCTGCCTAAACAATGACTGGCCCAAAGTGGGTGCTCCATAAATATCTGTTAAAAAAGTGAATCAGTGATTCTGTTAATTGATACAATCACCATTTAAACCATCACAGTTTACAAGATTTTTTATACTCTTTTTCTCACTTGATCCTCATGGCAGGCCTATCACAGAGTCAGGGCAGGTATTATCACTGTTTATTGGTGAGGAAGCTGAAACAGATGATTTGCTAACAGTTACATAGTAATTGGCAAGGCTGGGACTAAAACTCGTTTTCTGACTTGCAGTCTGTTACTGTTCTCTGTATCATGTACCTTTTTTTACCAACTAGTAATTATTTAATGTTTAATTTTAATAATTTTTAAGATTAGCTTTTGATTGTTTTATCAGTGACTTAGAGCAGTTCTCTTTTGCTCTTTTTTCATGGAATCCCGATAGATAATGTGTTTAGGTATAGGTTTGGGATGAATACTACCAGAGGCTTATGTAGATTATTGCTTTTTGAAATTTTGTCTCACATATTTGAAATTATGCGGAGTGCATTTTCTTCCAGTTATACTGTGGTACGACTTCAGATGGAAGCCTTTAAAACAGCTATGGGAAGGAAAATGAATTACTTTTCACTAACCTGGAACTCTTGGAAAAGCCATAACTTCTAAGCATGTGGTTTATTTGTTAAAATAGAGATTTAGTTGAAGATAATTTTTAAGACTCAACTGATGCTATATAGGGAGGATTGTTTCCCTTGAGTCTAGCATTAATGAAAGAAACATAGGGTCTTCTCAGAAGATTTGATGAAACCATAAATGTTGAACAGTCTGAGTAAAGTTTGGAGAAAATCTGCAAATTTTTTCTTTTCTTCTGAGTAGCTCCTGGATTTGAGGATTTCATTTCAGCTAGCCTTTTCCAGTATAGTATGTATCTTGGGGAGAAAATGGGCAACCACGCAGGAATGTTTTACTAGTTGAGAAGGGCAGTTTCTTAGTTCAGTTGGCAGGTCTTTCTATGAAACTGTCTGGGATTTTCTGATGAATTGAACACAGGGTGGAAAAATGTGACTGAAAGCTTTTTATTTACAGCTACTGGCATAATTCGTTTTTTTTTCCTCTTGCCAAGCTGGTAATAGCAATGGAAGAGCTGAAGCAGTGTCGACTACAACAGAGAAATATTTCAGCCACTGTTGATAAGTTAATGCTGTGTCTTCCAGGTGAGGAACTGGAAATGGATTAGGGTTCTTGATGCAGTTCTTTTAGCTTTAATAAGTTTCTCACTTTCTCTAAATAATGCTTGTGTGCTCTTTTTTCCCTTTTCTTTCAAGTCCTGGAGATGTATAGCAAACTGAGGGACCAGATGAAAACTAAAAGGTAAGATTTTTTTTTATTGAACATCTTATCTTGAATTTCTGTTAATTAGGCTAGTTTTAAGGTCCATATTTAGCATAACCTATCATGAAATAATTAAGTCCATATAATATCTTCTCTACCCTTTTATATATCTGCTGATTCATCCTGAGACTTATTTACATGCTAGTATGGTATGCTAATGTATTTTGTCATGTATTATGTTTAATTAAAAAAAAACAAACCCACTACTCAGTTTGGTTTTTAGAAGACCTGGTCTTTCAGGGGTAAAACATAACTTTTAGTGATAGTTGATTTGAGTAACATGCTTTGGTTTAGTATTGTAGTAAAAAAAATAGTTACTGGTTCTGGTATAGGGATGAATTAGTCTGGGTTCCTCACTGAAACAGAATCAGTAGAGTTTGTGTGTGTGTGTGTGTGTGTGTGTGTGTGTGTATAGAGAGAGAGAGAGAGAGAGAGAGAGAGAGGGATTGACTGGTTTATTGATCTTGGGGAATCGGTTCACATGATTACAGTGGCTGGCAAGTCCAAAATCTGCAGAATAAGGTGGTAGGCGAGGTGTCGGGGAAGAGTAAATATTGTAGCCTGAGTTTGAAGGTGGTGTGCTGGGAGAATTCCTTCTTCCGGGAGGAGTCAGTCTTTTTTCTGTTAAGGTCTTCAGCTGATTAAGTGAAGCCCCCTCAGGTATGGGGAGTAATCTTACTCACTCTAGTCTACTGATTAAGTGTCAATAGTTTCATCTAAAAAAATACCTTCATAGAAATATCCATAATAATAATTGATCAAATATTTGAGTACCATGACCTAGCTAAGTTAACACATAAAGTTAATCATCACAGGGGACAAAGTCAAGATTAAGTTTAGAGGATTACTCTCCTGTGTGTTGTTTTCCTCTGGATTTACTCCGCAGGAAAGAATGTAGTGACTCTTTCGCTCTAAGCATCCCACCCTCTCTACCGTGGAGTGTACTGCAGTATGAAGGGGTGCGTGAAGCTGTGATAAACAGGACATACCTTTCTGGAATGTTGATTTTTACCTAGGTTTTGAGGGAAAAAGTATAGAATTGAAATGTGATATTGAAATAACAATAGAAATATTGTGAATAAAAGCATTAAATTTTCAAGAATTTTAAAGCCTAAAGCATGAAGCATCAAAATTTTTTGAATTTCTTAGACTCCCTTCTTTTCCCCAAGAGGATATGTTCACATACGAGAACATAGGTAGAACAGTATGAAAAGTTCTGCTCAGTGAGATATGAATAGTATTTTTTCCCTGATAACCTTTTAGTGAAGTTCTAGAATTACAGAAGTTTACAGTGAAAAAAAAAACAACAAAACTGTGTACCAAGTTCTCTGAATTAAGATATTAATAGTTCTCCATTTTTGATTCATATATATGTAAATATATATGAAAATAGATAAACATGTATGGACAGAGAGAGGTAAAGATAGACATTTAAAAAAAAAATTACAGATAAAACTTACGTCCCTTTCCTCAGCTATATTTCTTTCCCTACTCCTGTAAGGAAACCAGTATCATAAATATGGTGTCTTTCTAGTCCATGTTTTTAATGTCTACAAATCATATATTGTATTGTGTTTTTAAAGACATTTACATGAATGGTTCTCAGTCCTTGTTTTTTTGAGATTCACTCATTCAACAAAGATGAATGGAGTACTTACTATATGCTGGGCATTGTTCTTGGGGATACCGCTCTGAAGAGAACAGACAAAAATATCTACTCTGATGGGGCTTACATACTAGTGAAGAGTTTATTTTCCTTATGTGTGTAGAGCTAGTTCACTTACCTTAGTCCTTTATAATAGTCCATTATGTGAATAATTCACATTTCTGCTCTCATTTCCAGTGGTTATCATAAGTGCTGTCCACCAGTTATTTCTAGCTCAACCTTCTTCTGTCTCATAGTAGGATTATATTTCCTGGGCTTCCTTGGGCTGTGTGACTGATAAAATGTGAATTGATAAGATGGCTGATAAGATGTGAACAGAAGTGATAAATATTACTTTTGGGCCTAGAAGTTAATTTCTAGCCCAAGTCCCTCCAGAGTTCTCTTTTCCCTTGGTTATGAGAAATGGTAACTTTCAAGATGTTGGTTGAATCCCTGAGTAATTCTAATGAACAGAACTTTCCTGCCAACCTGTTATGGATGTATATAATATGAGTAAGTTATAAATCTTTAAGACACTGAGACTTTTGGGATTGTTGTTACTGTAGGATAACTGTTCTCACTGATACCGTGAAAGACATTTGATGTGTTTCCAGTTGTTTCCTGTGCAGACAGAGGTTCAGTAAATATTCTTGTTCATGTCTCTGTTCACACATTCAAAGTTTCTTAACAACAGTGCTTTTCAAATGTTGCTATATATACAAATTACATGGGGATTTGTTAAATGTAGATTCTGGGGAGGCTAGGTGGCTCAGTCATTAGGCGTCTGCCTTCCGCTCAGGTTGTGATCCCAGGATCCTGGGATCCAATCCCACATCGCATCAGGCTCCCTGCTCAGCGGGAAGCCTGCTTTTCCCTCTCCCCACCCCCTGCTTGTGTTCTTTCACTTGCTGCCTCTCTGTGTCAAATAAAAATAAATCTTTAAAAAAAAATAAATGGATAAGGAAGATGTGGTCCATATACACTATGGAGTATTATGCCTCCATCAGAAAGGATGAATACCCAACTTTTGTAGCAACATGGACGGGACTGGAAGAGATTATGCTGAGTGAAATAAGTCAAGCAGAGAGAGTCAATTATCATATGGTTTCACTTATTTGTGGAGGACATGGGGAGTTAGGAGAAGGGAGTTGGGGGAAATTGGAAGGGGAGGTGAACAATGAGAGACTATGGCTGAAAAACAATCTGAAGGGTTTGAAGAGGTGGGGGGATGGGAGGTTGGGGGAACCAGGTGGTGGGTATTAGAGAGGGCACGGACTGCATGGAGCACTGGGTGTGGTGCAAAAACAATGAATACTGTTAGGCTGAAAAAAAAAAGATTAAAAAAAATAAAAAAAAATGTAGATTCTGATTGGGAGGTCTGGGCTCATTCCTGGGATTCTTCATTTTCTACCAAGCTCCCAGGTAGTGCCAGTTCTGCTGGCCTAGGGTTTATACCTAGAAGGAGATCAGCTGGATCAAAGAAAGGATGTCCATGCATTCATTCATGTATTCAACTTGGCATTATTCTCCAAAGTGAATTCAGCCTATCAATTTAGACTCCCACTGGCATTTTGTGGAGGTCTGTTACTCCATCTCTAGGTAACATCTGTATTGTGAGACTTTTTGGTCTCGGTCTGACGATTGTGAAATGATAGATAATTGTTCTATGATTTCACTTCTTCAATTACTAGTAATACTGGTTTTTGGACATTTGGATTTTCTTTCATATATTTTGTCCATTTTTTTCTTAGGTTGTTTGTTGTTATTGTTCATTTATAAGGATTCATTAGATACTCTGAATACCTTTTCCTCTTACTAGGAATATCGTGCAAATATTTGCTTTCAATGCATGGCTTATCTATTAACTTTGTAAAGTTAGTACTTTTTGTTATATAGTAGTTGTAAATTTTGTCATCACTTATCTTGTGGTCTTTAAAAAGTTTTATTTTTAAACATTCTCATAAATAAAACTTAGTTATGTGTTTTTCTGAACCCTTAGAAAGTAAGTTGCTGATGTGATGTCCTGTCATCCCCAAATACTTTGGTGTCATTTTCTGCAATAAAGACATTCTTCTTTGCGGCCACAATGCAATAGAGAATAAAAATTAACATCGATATATTAGTAGACTCTAACCCTCTAACCCTCATACCCAGTTCAGATTTTGCTAATTGTCTCAGTCATGTTCTTTACAGCAAAAGAATCCAGTTAAAAACATGTGTTGCATTTAGTGGTCCTGTCTCTTTATTCTTCTTCAGCCCGGAGCTGTCCTCAGTCTTTCCTTGACTCTTATGACCTTGTCACTTTTGAAGATTACAGGCCAGTTATGTAGAATGCCCCTCAATTTGGCTATGTCTGATATTGCCTCATGTTTATATTAATGTTGTATGTCTTTGGCTGGAATATCACAAAAGTGTTGTTGGGTTCTCATTGTGTCTTACCAGGTCACACATAAATTTGATCTGTCCTGTCAGTGATGATGTTCCCTTTGATTCTTTTCCATTGTGAAGTTGCTCTTTTTTATATTTGTAAGGAAAAATTCTTTGGGGAGGTATTTTATAGTTATGTAAATTAATCATTTTTCATCAAATTTTCACTTTAATTTTTTTATGTCAGTATGGACTCATAGTTATTCTTATTTTATTTGATGAGCCATAATTTGTAAATATTATTTATTTTGTTGTTCAGATTATTCTGAATGGCACCAGAGTGGCCCCTTCAATCTGGCTTCTGTGTGTGGTTTTTTTTTTTCATATGTCCTCATAATTTTTTGAGTACTTTTTTACTAACAAAAGGAGAGATTTTTCAGATTTATCTTGTACTTTGCTTGCTGCAGCCCTGGAATCAGTGATTTCTCTAAGTAGAGAATGTTATTTAGAAACCAGTATCATTACTACTGAGTATCCTGGCTTTCATTACTCTTTTTTTTTTTTTTTTAAAGATCTTATTTATTTATTTGAGAGAGAGAGAGAGAGAGTATGAACGGTGGGAAAGGCAGAGGAAGAGGGAAAAACAGACTCCCCGTTGAGCAGGGAGCCCAGTGAGGGGCTTGATCCCCGGACCCTGGGAACATGACCTGAGCCAAAGGCAGATACTTAGTGGACTGAGCCCCTCAGGTACCCCTCATTACTTGTAAAATATTTACTTACTGGGTTAGTTCCTTTTATGAAACTGATTACCTATTATTGCTATCATTGCAACTCTTTACCTTGCTAACACTATACACTAAGATCCCCCCTGTATTATATCCTCCTTATTCCACTTGGGCTGTAATACTCTGGCGTGCTTCTGCCTGAATGCCCTCCTCATCCCTAACTGGCTTTGACATTCCATACC